AGCCTCGGAAACACCCCTTGTGTGCCCGAGCCCGCAGGGCCTGCGCACTCGTCAGCTCTCCCTCAGCTTGGCGCAGTGGGCTCGTCTCCATGGCGACCGAGCTGCGCCGCAGAGATCAAAGCGGGAGATGGGTTAGCTCCAAACGAGCCGAACTAGGGGTGGGGTGGTGAAGGGATTCTGGAAAGAACCTGGACCAGGGAGGCCCCCTGGGTGGCTTCCTCCTCCACCGCCTGTTCCTCCTGTCCTGATTGCGGGACCCCCTGCCTCAGACTGGACCAGAGCTGAAGTAGGAGAAACCACTCTTTTTTTTTTTGGTACTGGGGATCGAACTCGGGTCCTTGCGCCTGCGCAGCAGGCGGCGAAACCACTGAGCTAAATTCGCGGCCCGGAGAAACCACTTTTTAGCTGGGATTGGGCCTCCATAGACCCCCATCAGTTCGTATTTATGGATTCTGGTTAGGGGCATGGATTCTGGAATCACAGATCTGCGTACCGGTCTTCTTCTGCTAGGCAATTGCTGTGTAATCCTTTATATGTCACTCAACCTCTCTGAGCCTCACTTTTATCACCTGAAAAATGAGGATAATAGCAGTACTATTCTCTTGGGGTTGCTGTGAAAAGTAAAGAAGGCAGTGAATGGAAAGGGATTAGCATAATTTCTCCTATGTGGTCCTTGAACTCACTATGTAGCCCAGGTTGGTCTTGAACTTTCAGTGATTCTCCTACCTCAGCCTCTGAGATTACAGGCATGTACCTAAATAGCCCTGGCTCCAGAACTGGCCATCTAAGACAGAATGAAGCAAAAGTGGGGTGTTACCAGAACAGTAACAGACTTCCACAAGTACAGCTAGCCTGGAGGGTACCTAGGCATGGGCCAGGGCTGGGAAGGTGATGCCTAGCTGGGTTTTGAAGGATGACTAGGAGTAACACATGCTCCAGATGGAGAAAGTGGCTCTCCAGAGGTGCCAGGTGCTGACATCCACTGGGGTATTTGGGGCAGCTGAGAACCAATGAAAAATTTACCTCCTTCTGTAGGTAACAGAGAACAGGGAAGGGGTTGTAAAATCTAACATTTGTTATTTTTTTTCTCCTTACCTATAAAAATAATATATGTCCAGTAATATATATGGAAACTTGGGAAAAAGCAGAAAGATGCCAAAATGCTGTATATCCCTGCCCTGCAGGGGATGCCACAGTTAAAACATTTTGATAGGAATTTCTTTCATCTACCTCCTTTTTTGGTTTTGTTTTGTTTTGAGACAGGGTCTTTCTAGGCAGCCTAGGCTGGCTTCAAAATCAGGGCAATCTTCCTGCCTCAGCCTGCCTAGTGCTGAGATCATAGACAGGTGCCACCACACCCAATTCCCTGTGTAACCCCACACTCTCAAATGAGAGCAAACTGGGAGGTTCCAAGTTGGATTCAGCCTCAGAGGTGTAGGAGGTGGGTGCGGCCAGCAGGGGGCGCTGCAGTGTTGAAGTGCAGCTAGGGTGTGTGGAGAGGGGAGGGCGGGCCAGCAGAGTCTTGGGACCTGGGGTAGGCTCTGCTCCTGGCATCAGCAGAGAGACCCTAATACAAACAGCCTGGGATGGGGGATCTGGAGGTCTGGCCTACTCTTCATCTGTCTGTGACCTCCGGCTGCTCTCTGCACCTCTGTTTTCTCACTTTTTATGCTATTGATACAAAATACTTGGAGAGGACTGACTTTATTTTATTTGTTTTCTTGAGACAGGGTCTTGCTATATAGTGCAGGCTGTCCTTGAACTCACAGTGATCCATCTGCCTCAGCCTCCTGAGTGCTGGGATTACAGGCATGCACCACCACGCCTGGCCTTGGCCTGACTTAAAAACACCATTCGATACAAGGCAGGGTCATCCCAATGTTCCGGAAGTTTCTCCTGTCTGCTCTGTGGCCCCTTCGGTTGTACTAACCTGGTAGGATACACGTGCTCCTCTGGCAGGCGAGAGCTCTGGGTCCTGACCCATCTCCTCAGGACACTGGCGAGGGGCTCCTGAGGACCCTTCTGTGGGGTGAGGGATGAGGGCCATCAGTCGCAGAGCCAGCCTAGAAGTGGCCTCTTGTTTCCCCGAGAAGACGCTGGTGCTGTTACTGCCATTTCTCACAGTGGCTCATGAGCCCACGGGGGCGCCCTAAATAGACCTGGCTGCCCGGTTCACACTCACCAACAAGCACCTCTTTTTCACCCTGGAGCTGGTGCTGGCCCCCACCTGAGCTCCAGGGCCGCTAAGTATGTCCCTGGGCTGTGCCCCAGAATGGCCATTCCCAAGCTGCCCACCCCCGCTGCAGCACTCTGCTGTCCCCAGGGGGCCTCACCCGTCATCTTTCATCTCTCCCCACTTCCTTCACCTGAACCTTTGGACTCTTGCTGCTGTGATGGCTTTGGTTTGTCACTGGTGCACTGCTTCCTGTGTCTCTTTGGGGCTCTGGGCATTGCCAGGAGGGAGGTGCTGAGCTCCTCCAGGCAGTGGAAGCTAGCATCAGTGCCACCCCAGGGCCTCCTGTCCTCTGACTGGCTGCTGCCACTCTCCCGGGAGTGAGGGTGCTAGGATCCAGAGCCACAACCATGTGGCACACTAGGGACGCACGGCTTAGCCAGACCTGGGGACTTGCTCACCCCCACCACCTGCACCAGGGAGGGGAGCTGGGAGCCCCGGGAGCCACTGGTCTCTTAGAAGTCCTACCCCACCCTTGCTGCTCCCTGATTTTCTAATTGGAAATCTGCAATCCTGTCCTTGGAGAACCTACTTTGTCCAGTGTCCCAAAGACTCTGCGCATGCGCTGGCTGGAGGGGAAAGACTGAGCGGGCTGAGGCCCTTCCTTCCCCCAGATCTCGGTGGGGAGGACAGCTGACTCGCCCTTTTCATACCTTCCAGCCTCCCTCCCAGGGACTTGTGGGAGCAGAGGAAGAGACCCCAGTGGGTGGAGGCCGTCCCTACTTATGCCCCCTCCTTGTAACACTGGCCTCAGCCCCTTGGCCACTCTGGTCTCTGTTGCCCACCGCCCTTCACCCCAAGCTGCTCCTGGAGTTGAAGGGCTGGGCCCAGCTGGCTTCTTTTGGCCCCGAGCAAACAGGACCATTGAGCCTGCCACTTCCAAAGCTTGCCTGGGGCCCCAGGGTTCAATTCTAGCCCTGTGGTGAAAATGGGCCCCTCCTCAGCTGCTTCAGGCATGCTCCCAGGCCCACTAGGCTGTGGGTCTCTGGCTGCTTAGACATGTCCTGGGTGCCAGTGGTGGCCAGTGTGAGGGGCAGGAAGAGGCCCAATGTGAGGCAGAGGGGGTGACCTAGGGCCAGGCAGAGCCACACAGGCTGGACCCTCTTGGGCAGAAGCCTGCTGTTCCCTGCCCTCCTACCCCCACCGCCTGTCTCTTGCTGCCACCCCATAACGGAGGAAGCGGCAGAAAGGCTGCACCCGAGGGTGCGCCTCGCACCCGCTGTGAAATCTGGAGGCCGCTCACAGACATAGGTTTTGTTGCTTCATTTCTGATAAAAACCATCTGGCATTGGTGGGCTGCCTCACGTGGGCGCCCTAGTTTTCACATGCTGTGCACATGTGCGCATGAGTACACAGTCTCACGGATAAGGACGTGCGCAAATGTGTTCACGCATGTGTCCCGTGATGTGCTCTGGGCACACACCTGTCCACAGGGCTCTGACTTCGTGAGTACTGCCTTGTCTTCCCAGCTCTGACCCTTTCTGGCCTTTATCCCAGAGGGCCTCATGCGTCCCTACCTGTCCTAAGGTTTGCCAGCTTCCAGGGGAGGCTGCAGAGCCCTTGAGCTTCCAGAGCCCTTGGGAGCCCTGCACTGTCCCCACTGCTGCTCATGTGAGCCCTCTGGTGCCTTCTTCCCCGAGGCCTGACAGCCAAGATTCAGCCCTGCCCACCCTCGCCTGACAGTGTGGCCTCTGCCCTAGTGCTGCACCTCTCTGATGACGTGTGGTGGGACTGAGAATGAAGGGCGACTGTGCCCCTCTCCCCAGCCCCCCATATGGAGGAGGTTGGCAGCTGGATCCTTGGTACTGCAGCCCCTGGCCTGCAGGAACCCTTGCCCACCTGGCCCAGCTTCCATCAAGGCAGCCTGGGAGCTATGTGCTGGTTTTCAGTGACTCCTTTCCGCAGGGGAAGGGGAAGAATTCAGAAGTGCTGGAGTTTCATGGCTGGGATCTAGGCCAGGTGGGAAGTTCCCTGCCTCTGGCTAGGCCAGACTCCTGGGCCACAGTACGGATGGAACAGGGAGCACATGCCTTAGGTCTCAGGGACCTTGTGATATAGCAGGAGGAGAGGTCTGTGTGGGGCATCGGAGGCCTGGCTGCTGGGACACAGGACCTGGGTGGGGTCCTCCCATTTGCGGACTCTCTGGCCTCTCCTGCACAGGGAGGGGGCTGTCCCGGGTCACCTCACGGGGCCTTTTCAGGTTCCTTTGATGGAGGACTTAAAGCTGGACTATGATAGCTGGGGAAGCCACTGTCACCGGCCAGGGTGTCCCTTCAGTCAGTCTGAGCTCGGCAGGAAGGAAAGGACCGTGAGTGAGAAGTGGTCCTCCTGAAGCTTGGAAGACAGAGCCCTGCCCTGCCTCACTCCTGGGGTGGGCAGCTGTCAGAAGGAGGGGGCTGCTAAGGAAGGGACCCTGGCAGAAGAGAGGGTGCGGCAATTCTGGGCCGCTGCCAGGCCCTATAGCCCTTTGCCCTCCTCAGACGTGTGTCCTGGGGCTGGGGCCAGAGCTGACTGGCATGTGTCACCCTGCAAAAGCCATGGGCCCCACCCCGCTGCCCCCAGGGTGGGCCAGCCTAAAGCTCTCTGTGGTGAAGGCGCAGGTATACTGTCTCCATAGCAGTCAGAGATTGTCACTCAGCACCCACAGCCGAAAGAGGCCGGCTGTGCCCTGGGACCTCATGGTCTGAGGGGCCTCCCACTGACGTCCCCATCTCTCTCCCTGTCTCCCCTGCCCGTGTCTGTGCCTGCTTCCGTGTCCTGTCTCCAGGAGGTGGAGGTGAGTACCGCGGAGTCCCAGGGCCTGTGGGTTCCCTGGAGCTGTACCCCCACCTCGTTCCATCAACACCCTCACCCCAACTTCTCCCCTGCCAGCATCTGGCATGGGGTGAGGAGAATAAGGCTCTTTCAGGAGAGGCAGGGATTCTGGATGGGAGTTTAAGGGACAGGGCTATGGGGTGTCAGAGGTCATCCGGGCAGCCACCAGGATAGCGGCAATTTGCATGTGGACGCAGTGGCCTGGGCCTGTCCTTTCCAACATAGTGCAGGGGAGCTGGCTCTGGGATGCAGACATTTGCCCTCCCTGTCCCCACCCTCTCTGTCCTTCTCTAGGATGATTACATCAAGAGCTGGGAGGACAATCAGCAAGGAGATGAAGGTAACATGTCCTTCCCAGCCAGGGGAGGAGACAGACACCGTGAAGAGTGAGACCCATGGACAAGACCTGGCTTTGGCCGGGGGCTCCTCGACCAGCCAGGCCCCTTGAGGCTATCAGGGACTGCTGGTGGGAGGGGCCTCCCAGCTCAGAAGCAGGGTGGGGGCCCCTGGGTTCTCCCAGGTGACCTGTGTCCTCACACCGTGTCCCTGCAGCCCTGGACACCACCAAGGACCCCTGCCAGAAGGTGAAGTGCAGTCACCACAAGGTGTGCATCGCCCAGGGCTACCAGCGGGCCATGTGCATCAGCCGAAAGAAGCTGGAGCACAGGTGAGGCCCTGGGGGGCCCTGTAGGGGTCTGCTCCAGGGCAGGGCTCTGCTGACCTGTCCCTGCATTAGTGCCTATTGCCACCACCAAACTTAATGGCTTAACACAACCATTGTGTGTCATCTTCCACGGTTTCGGAGGGCCAGGAAGCCAGGAGTTGGATCGTTCTGTCCTGAGGTCTGTGGTGAGGTTCAAGTCATGGCGCAGGATGGGGCTGCATATCTCAGGGCTGACTGGGGCTGGAGGGGTCACTTCTGAGTCTCTCTCATGACTGTTGGTGGAGGCCTCAGCTCCTAATCACGTGAACCTCTCTGTAGGGATGCTTGCTTATCCTCAATATGGACAATGTGGCAGCTAGCTTTCCGTGAAGAGTCATCAAGAGATAGAGTGCATTAGTCAGCTTTTCCATCTCTGAAACAAAGTAACTGACACTTGAAACTTAGTGGTTTATTTTGGCTTACAGTTTCAGTGGGTTCAGTCCATGGCTGGCTAGCTCCATGGCTGAAACAGCATGGCAGAGGAAAGCTGCTCACCATACTGTGGTCAGAGAGCCGAGAGTGAAGGCAGAAGCCAGGGACAAGAATACAGCCTTCTAGGTCATCCCCCAGTGGCTCACCTCCAACCAGGCCCCATCTCCTAACACTATATTCAGCTATGTATGAATGTACAACGGATGAATCCACTGTTGAGTACAGTGCCCCCATGATCCACCTTCCACACACATGAGACTTTTAGGGGGCATTTGAGACCTAAACCACAACAGAGAGCAAGGAGGAAACTACTCCTCAGAAAACTATTCCGAAACACCAGGGAAAGTCCCACCTCCTCTGTCGGCCTGGGGGTCTGTGTCTTGAGACAAGTAGATTTGTAGACCAAATAATTTGAGGTTTCTTTCCCTCTTGACATGCAGTGAATACAGGAAATAGTTAAGGTTGTAGCTGTTGAGGCTTAAAGAGGAGGAAGGGATGAGGGGCATTTGAGGAGGCCTTAGCTCCAGGCCAAGGTCAAGACCCTGCCTGGCTCCAAGACCCCAGGAACAGCTCTCATTTCCCTCCCCTTTCCTGAATCCAGTCAAGACTTGCATTCTTAGATGCCCGTGGGGCTGGTGAGTACTGTAAGGCATCTAGCAAGCCAGCCCTGCTAGGAAGGGGGCAGCTGCTTCTCTATGTGAAAATTCAGGACTGAATCCCTGCATCCTCTATTTTTTTAAGGAAGCCCAGGAATCCTGCGTTTTTTGGTGAACTCTCCCATTATGCCAATGTTGGCAAATAACTCTGTTTACAAAACAACAATAATCACCCTTTGTGGTCAGACAAAATCAGTCTGCAGGTCAGATGCGGCCCACGGCACTATGGATTTATGACCTCTGACATGGGTTGATCCTCCTGCGAAGTGAGACTCCTTTTACTTCTTGCAGTTAGAGCTGGCTTTGCGCTCCAGAGGCCTCACTGGACTCTGGAAAAGGGCAAGCTGGGATCTGGCCCCTGCCCAGTAGGTTCCACCCTTATGAGCCGGAGGAGGGAACAGCTGGGGGTGATGGGCGTCAGCAGGAGGACAGAGGCGCCAATGTGGTAGAGTCTGCTGACCAGCCTCTTGTTGGGACAGGACTCCTGGACTTTCTGTCCCTTTCTCATTTTTATCTTCTCCACATCTCCCCACCTTTTTTCTGTAGGATCAAGCAGCCCACCCTGAAACTCCATGGGAACAAGGACTCCATCTGCAAACCCTGTCACATGGCCCAGCTGGCCTCGGTCTGCGGCACTGATGGCCACACCTACAGCTCAGTGGTGAGGGGTGGGCCTAGGTGGAGCCACAGGGAGCAGAGGGGACAGCTCTGCTGGGGCCTCCCCAGGGTTCCCCCTGACTGATGAGGGCAAACTGTGTATTCAGTGCAACCAATTGCTGGGCATGGGAGCCCTGGCCAGGGTGATGGAGCAAGAGATGGGGGAGACCATGCCCTTGACCTTGGGCAGGTGCAGGTGGGGCAGAAGAGACACATGGGTGGGTGAGTGCAGGTGGAGTGAGGTAAGGGTCTCTTGGAAGTACGGAGCGCTCTGGAAGGAAGGAGCACTGCTGACTAGGTTCTGGGGTATAGAGGGCGATTTCCACATGGAAGCTAGTGTGCTCCCAAGTAGCCAGAGCACCCGAGCAGGAGGACATAATCCCCCCTGGGAAGACAATGTGGGAAGGAACTTCGACCTGGGGAATCTCTTCTGGGATTTTTGTGAGGAGTAAATGAGATGATATTTGTGAAAGCATTTTACTGACTTCAAAGTAAAATAGACATGCAGGTGCTAAGCAGGAATGCTTCAGTGAGTATCGAGAAGTTGAGCTTGCTTGGGTTTGGGCAGGGACAGGCAGTCAGGTGGGGTTCCAGGGCTTGGGGACCTTTTTGGGATGAAGAGTCAAGCAGACCAGGGGTGGTGGCACACACCTATAATCTCTGTGCTCTGGGAGACTGAGGCAGGACGATGGCAAGTTTGAGTTGAATCTGAGTAATTTAGCAAGCCTCTTTCTCAAAGTGGGAGGAGGGCTGGGGATGTAGCTCAGCGTGAAGGTTCAATCCTCAGTACCACAAAATAAACAGACAGATCAGTAAAGGAGTGGCTGTGGTGACAAGGTGACAATTTCAGATGAGGGGTGAGGATGAGGCCACCCAAGGGCATGAGGTCACCCAAGGGAAGAGAGGGAAGAGAAAGAATGAGCAAGAGGCCAGGGCAGAGGCGGCACTTAGGAGGCCAGAGGGCCATGAAGGAGACAGAGCTGACAGGGAGGAGGAGGATGGTGAGAGCTTGTGTCCCACACCAGTGGGCAGGAAGTACAGTTCAAGGGCACTTTGTCCCATAGGGAGGTGCAGGTCTTCAGTAGGTCTGGCTTCCATCCCCTCCCCATGGCCCTGGTGGGTCACTGGGCCTTGATGTTCTCTGCTGGCCACAGGGCTGGGAACTGAGTGTGGCAACGCATAAAATATTACAATGCTCTGAGACAATGACCGCCTCCCAGGAGCAGGCACCCAGAAGGAGAAATGAACATGACAGGGAAAGATGTGGCGCGTCTTAGGGAGGCCAGGGAGGGGAGGAGTCGGCAGAGAGTGGCTGCTGCTTATCTAGAGAGCTGAGGACAGGGCCCCTGCAGGAGAGGTGGGAAGACAGAGGAGGGAAGGACAGAGGAACAGTGAGGAGGAGGACGCTAGGCCATGGGAGCCAAGACGGGGGTGTGGGGGGGGGCCATGGGTGCAAGGTGGAGAGGGAGGTGGGGGTCAGGGAGGGACCGACACTCATGAGGGCAGCAGGGTCAGGTGGGCCAGAGCAGCCTGCACAGCAAGGACTGGTCCCTGGGCCCTCCTGGGCCCCCACAGCTCACCTCCATGCACCTTTGGTCCCCAGAGGGAGGGACAAGGAGGGCCCTTCCAGGCCCTCCTGGGGAAGGATTGGAGTTGGGGCACCCCACCCAGTCCACCTTTCTCCACAGTGTAAGCTGGAGCAGCAGGCCTGCCTCAGCAGCAAGCAGCTGACGGTGAGATGCCAGGGTCCCTGCCCCTGCCCCACGGAGCAGGCTGCCGCCTCCACCACCAACGGCAAGTCAGGTAACCAGCATACCAGCTGGGGGCCTCCCTGCCGGGCCCCAGTACCTTCTTCAGGCTGCAAGATGGAAACAGGTTTGCAGAGCAGGAGGGGAGGAGAAAGGCCTGCAGGAGGTTCCAGGGCCTGAGTGACAGAGTGGGTCTGGTCCTCAAGCCTCTGATCTCTCCCCTGGCTGTCCCAACCCTAAGGTGATGGAGGGACTTAGCCACAGGAGCCTATGCAGCACTCTCAGTGCTGGGATGGAGTGAGGGTGGAGGAGATGGGAGAGGCCGGGAGAGGAAGCCCCTGCCTTCTGCCTCCCCTCCTCCTGAGTCCCTTACCATTGCATGGCCTCCCTGCCTGGAGTCCAGGACCCCACACTGAGACCAGGTTGCCCCAGTTCACCCTCTGTCCCCTTCTCTGTGCTGCTCACTGCAGACACCTGCACAGGCCAGGACCTGGCCGACCTGGGGGATCGGCTTCGGGACTGGTTCCAGCTTCTCCATGAAAACTCCAAGCAGAATGGCTCGGCCAGCAGTGCAGCCAGCCCGACCGGAGGTACAGGAGAGAGGAGGGAGGGGTGGGGAGGTGCCGAGGAGACAGGTGTGCAGGGGCCAGCCTCCCCTCACTCCCTCCTGCCCAGGCCTAAGCCCTGCAGGGTGGGTCCCCCACAGGAAGAGTGATCAGCATCAACCAGAGCTAGTGAAAGAGAAGGACTTCTTAACATGGGTGGAGGAGCTGGGCCTGGTGGCGCACACCTGTGATCCCAGCACTCTGGGAGGCTGAAGCAGGAGGATGGCAAGCTCAAGCCGAGCCTGGGCAACTTAGCAACACTCTGTTTCAAACAATAAAAAGAGCCGAGGATGTAGTAGCTCAGTGCGAAGGCCTTGGGTTTAATCCCCAGGACCAAAACAGAAACAAAAAGACAAAACAAAAAACATGGGTTGGAAGAGCTCAGACTGCAAATCAGTAGCCAAAAGAAAGTAAAGAGCTCCAGGGTTGGGGATTTAGCTCAGTGGTTTCGCTGCTTGCCTTGCAAGAATAAGGTTCTGAGTTCAATCCCTGGTATCAAAAAAACAAAACAAAAAGGAAGTAAAGAGCTCCTTTTTTTCTGGGGCTGGAGGTGCAGCTCAGTGGTAGAACACTTGCCTAATGTGCCCAGGACCCTGTGTATAATCCCCAGTACCACACAAACAAAAAGGAAGGATTTTTTTCTGAGGGCTTTTGGAACAGGATTTGGGTGGTTTAGATGTAGTGCTGTCGTACAGTGGGGGAAGGACCTTGGCCATTCTTGAGTTTCTCATGGTTAGGTTCCAGGCTGCCTGACTCTACCAAGAGGGCTGGGAGTGAGAATAAAGACGAGGGGTGGAGGGACAGACAGTGGAGTGTGTCTGAATCCTGGTCTTCTCCCCAGGGCTGGACAAGAGCTTGGGGGCCAGCTGCAAGGACGCCATCGGCTGGATGTTCTCCAAGCTGGACACGAGTGCCGACCTCTTCCTAGACCAGGGTGAGCTGGCTGCCATCAACCTGGACAAGTATGAGGTCTGCATCCGTCCCTTCTTCAACTCCTGCGACACCTACAAGGACGGCCGAGTCTCCACCGCTGAGTGGTGCTTCTGCTTCTGGAGGGAAAGTAAGCAGCCCGGCCCGGCAGACTGCCCTCGCTCTGGCACTGGGCTGCCCTGGGAGTCAGTGCAGCTCCCTCCCAGGCCCCCGAGTCCAAGGTCCAAGCTGCCCAGCCCTTATACCCTCAAAGGGCTTCATCTTTCAGGGCCAAGGGAACCAGCATGGGACTCCTTTTCTCAGCAGGCCCCAGGGGATCTGCATTTTGTGGGTCCTGAAGCTTAAGCACCTTTTTGGGTACCTTTTAGGGCCCCTCAGAGGGCCAGGGAGGGGCCAGGGGAGTGAGGGTCTTAGAGCTGAAGATTCGTTTGCTTCTCAGTGATTCCATTTCCTGGCACATCTCGCCTCCTGTGCCCCAACTAAGGAGTTACATAGGTGACCATTGGCCTTAAATCTGTGGTAAGCTTTGTTAGCTTTATCTGCCCAGAGCCAGAGCTGGACAGGTGCTTAGAGATGATCTAGGCCAAGAGGCAAATGTCACTGATGGGGAAACTGAGGTCCCCAGAGGGCAAATGACCTGCCTGGCCAGGAGCTGGTGTAGGCAGTGTCCTGCCCCCGGCCATTGAGTGTGGAAGTAGTGAAGTGTCCGTGGTCAGAGGCCCAGGCTAGGGCTCCACCTCATGCTAGTCTGCAGCCCTGACATGTGACCAAAGTGTTCCAAGTTCAGTTTCTTCTTCTGAATTGGGAAATGGCAGTACCTACCTCAGAGACTGGTGTGAGGAGAAATGGAGAGAATCTGGGTGCAGAGCCTGTGAAATACTCTGCAAATGCAAGCACGTGGACTGGTCTTGCACCCCAAGCTGCCAGCCACCCTGCCTGGCACCAGCCCAGCCAGCCTGGCCCAGGCCTTGCAGGCTCATTCCCTGCCTTCCGCAGAGCTCTTCCTGGGCAGGGGCTGGGACTGTCCCCGCTGCTGCATAGCCAGGCAGGCTCCCAAGGTGGCAGACAGGCGAGTGGGAACTTGGCCACTGGCTATTTTTGGCTAGGAGCTCTGTCTAACTAGTCTTATGCCTTGGGGTGTCTGCAATCCCACCCCATCCCCTCTTCTGACTACCGTTGTCTCATCCCATGAATCCCAACACCCTGAGAGAATCTTAGGCTTCCGGGGGCCCTCAGCCCATCCCACAGCCTGGGTGGCCTCCCCTAATTAGAGGTGGGGTGTTTTCATCCCACTGAGCCCTTACCCTGGTTTGGGGACTTCAGAGGGACCAGTGCATCCCACCAGCATCCCGGGGTTGCCCCACATCAAAGACTGGGTGTTTCATCCTGCAGGGCCCCTGCTGGGGTTCCTAAGCCTCGGGAGGCTCCTGTCACCACCACGGGATGGCCCCCCACAGACTGCCTCTCTCCCCACAGAGCCCCCCTGCCTGGCTGAGCTGGAGCGCATCCAGATCCAGGAGGCTGTCAAGAAGAAGCCAGGTGAGGGGCGGGCTGGGCGTGTAGAGGAGGTGGGGAGGCGGCCCTGAGCCCCCCGGAGACAGAAGCTCCAGGTCCTGGGCCTCAGGGCAGACAGTGAGCGGAAGGAAGCCCTGGCCCAGCATGGGAGAGAAATGCCCTTCTTGGTTTTGCTTATTTTTGGTGGCAGTGGGTATTGAACCTAGGGCCTTCACACAGAGTGTCATCCCTGGTCCCTTTTTCATTTTTTATTTAGAGACAGGGTCTTGCTAAGTCATTAAGTTGCCCCAGCTGGTCTTGAACTTGCAATTCTCCTGCCTCAGCCTCCCAGAGTGCTGGGATCCCAGGTGCCCACCACCATGATTCTTCCTGTTTAACTTCCTGGGGTGGGCCAGGGTCTCTCCATCTGCCACTCAATAAGTGCGTTTTAAGCAGGAGTTTTATGGCTCTCCATGTGGGGGCTGGAGGTTGGGGTACACAGTGGCCCTAGAACCTTCCATTCAGTTCATGTCAGCAAGTGTGTGTGGAACTCGAGTGGGCCCTGCCAGGGAGGTGCTCACAAACCCCCAGGGAGACAGACAAGCAAACCCAGCCTGGGCTGGAACCCATGGGCAAGTCAGGTGAGGTCCCTGTCCTTGTGGGCCCTTGGCACTGGCTGAGGAAACACACCACGGAGACAGAAGTCCCAATGGTGACTTGTGTGTGGGTGCTGAGGGAGAATGTAGGTGACACGAGGGAGGCTGAGGGGTCAGCAGAAGCCTCCTGGGAGCCGTTGTTCCAGGAGACCTGAGGGAGGAGAATGAGTCAGACAAGTGCAGAGTCAGGGGCAGGAAAAAGCTGGAAGTTCTCAGAAAACAGAAGGAAAGGACGCATGTGGCTGGAGTGTGGTGGTTGAGGGGACAGAGGTCAGAGAGGCAGGTCTCGCAGGGCCTTGTAGCTCCTTGAGAGTAGCCTGATGTTTGGCCAGGCCCATGAGATCAGCGTACTCAGGACCCAGCATGGAAAGGCCCACAAGACATGTTGAGTGCAGATCCGGTGGCTTTGGGGGCCTGTTGTGAGCCCCACCTCAGCCAGGAAGCAGTCATCTGTCATCTACTTCCTAAGTGGCCTCCCAACCCCAGACCCCATGTTACCCTGACTGTCTCTTCTCCTTGCTAAGCGGGCAAGTCCACCTCACAAGATGTCTGGTGGGTGAGCAGAGAAGCAGAATTTTGAGGGCCTAAGGGAAGGGAGTGGGCCCCTGAGGCAAGTCCAACTCCCCTGGGGGAGAAGCCCAGGCTTTCCAGGCTGGGGACAGGCAGACCAGAGGAGCAGCAGAGGTGTGGAGAGGATGAGAGTAGACTGGCCATTGCTGCACCCGGAGCAAGTGGTATAGACAGCAGTTTCTTGTTTCCGGTCAGGGCTGGGAGAGATGAGCCCTGGGCATCTGGGTTTGTGGAGGGGTCAGTGCTGCACTGGCCAGGCTCTGGGGCCATCCGGTCCCTGCTCCAGCCCAGGCTCTGAGGCTCCCGCTGTCCCATCCAGGCATCTTCATCCCGAGCTGTGATGAGGACGGCTACTACCGAAAGATGCAATGTGACCAGAGCAGCGGCGACTGCTGGTGTGTGGACCAGCTTGGCCTGGAGCTGACCGGCACCCGCACGCACGGGAGCCCCGACTGTGGTGAGGCCTGGGCGGCTTCAGAGCACCTGTGGGCCAGGCCGGGCGGGCTGTGGGGGCCAGGGTGGTGAGCAGGTCCCTTAGTGGCCTGCCCTTGGCTTGTCACCCTTACAGAGGACATCGTGGGTTTCTCGGGGGACTTTGGGAGTGGTGTCGGCTGGGAGGACGAGGAGGAGAAGGAGATGGAAGAAGCAGCCGACGAGGCCGAGGAGGAAGAGGGTGAGGCAGGCGAGGCCGATGACGGAGGCTACATCTGGTAGATGGTCCTGGGGCTGTGGCAGGCCAGGGCGCCAGCGGGCAGCAGAAACCTGGACAGCAGCGGGCAGCTTAGCGAGTGGATCTGAAAGTTAGCTGGAAGGACCCTGGCTCCGGTGGGAGGGTCAGAAGTGTGAGTGCACAGCTTGGGTGTGGCGCGTGTGGCTGGGATGTGTGTGTGTGTGTGGGGGGGGTGTGTGTGTGATTGGCATGTGCTGACAAACGTGTCCTCGGTCCACACGGATCCTGGCAGAGTGAGTCACCCAAAGGACTGTTGATCTTCCTTGTCTTTGTTTTCTTTCCATTTGTTGATTTTAATATGCACATAGTCTCACACTGACAGGTCAAAACCAGTGGAATAAGATGCTCCTAGTCCTGCCCTGCCTGCCCCGCCCACCCACCCCAATCTCCTGGGGTCCCCACCAGCCCTGCCTCCTCCCAGCCCTGCCTGCCCTTCTGGGATCCCAGGGGAGGGAGGGCAGGAAGCTCTTCTCTGGAGAGCGTCCCCGAGTTGCATCAATTTGGTGTGAAACTCCCACCAGCCACAGTAAGCCCTGTCCCTCTACTGGCCCCCCTCCCCCTGGCCCCAAGCACTAGAGAAAGTCCCCAAAACCCAGCTGGATTGACCAGAGGTGGCTGGGAAGGAGCTAGGGGCAGAGACAATGAGGCAGGAGGAAGCTGGCCAAGTCCTTCCCACTGGAGGGGTGGAACAGGTGGGGAGCAAGGCGAGCTCAGAGAGGTTAGATTCCAGGCAGAGCCTTAGGAGTGGCTACGGGGCAGCCTTGAACCCTAGACCCTGGCAGAGCCAGACTGGCTCCTCCCTGTGTGTCTCCTGTGGGCCATGGTGCAGGTGACTGACTATCTTGGAGCCTGGGGCTGGCGTTACACGGTGGATCCCCATGAAGCAGCCCAGTGTGAGGAGTGCTGCTCCTGCCTCTGTTTCCCTTGCTGGTGTCCTCCTTGTCCTCTCCAGGGAGCTTGAGGACTGGGAGCAGCAGGTGTGTGGCCACAGCCACCCTGACCGCTAACTACTGTTCTCCTGCCCAGACCAATAGATACGTGTCCCTGGGACCCTTTGAAGGAGATGCAGTTGGGAGGTGCCACCTCCCTGTTCTCAGGGACTGTGATCCTCCCCACCTCGGCACCTTGCCACCTCCAGGAGAAACTCCATGGCCATCCCAGCCCCGCTCCTCTGGCTGCCAGGGATCCCACTGTCCCTGAGGGTCCCTCAGGGCTACCCAAGTTCTATTGTGAAGCCTTGGAATGTGGGAACATCAGTGAGAAGGCAGCCCCATGGTCACACCGAACTGTCCCCGCAAACCTCCTGATTGGGCGGGAGGTCATCCTACCCACATGAGGAGATGCCTTGTGGTTTTCCATTTGTGCGTTCGGTGTTGTTTTTCCCAATTTGTCAAGTTCTCCCTGTCAAAGCAAATTCCTTAATACTTTTGGTGAACCATTTCTTACCTGGATGTGGGCCTCTGGAGAGTGCAGTGTGTGTGTGTGAGTTTGAATGGGTGTGCATGGGTGTGCATGGGTATGCATGTGTGCGTGTGGACCTGGGGCCATCATGGTGGCCTCAGAGAGCTGGGAGGATGGATGGCTGCATGGGGTCCGTGTGCCTGGCTCTCCCAGCATCCACTGAGGCTGAACGCTGTTGGATGTCACGGAAGAGCCTCACCCAATCTCCCTTTCCTTTACCCTGGAATCTGTATCTCTGGAGCCCTCACTGGGGGAAATAACGATATTCCACTTAGCCCCATAAAGCGCTTCTCATCCCGCAGCACAGTTCTGATTGTTGAGGTGTCGCGCTATTCCAGACCCTGGCCCTGTCCTCCTCCCCTCCCCTCCCCTTCCTGGTCCCCCGGGCCCCTTCCTCTGGTCCCCTGGTCAGTCACATCTGCCCTCTGCTCTCCAGAAGCAGCCACTCCTCTGGCTCAGAGCTACTTGAAACTTCCTGCTCTCGCTGAGATGGGAGTCTGTCTCTTTCTCTGCCCCAGTGGGACTTCCAGAACTGTCCTTAGGGTGGCTGCGAAGGATGCTGGGCTCCCTGGGGTGGTGAGGGGGCACAGAGGAAGGGCCATCCTTCCTCCTCTCACTGTCACCCTCCTTTCCTGGGGGGCTGTGCTCTCTGTGTCTCTGGGTCTTCCGGTTGTGCACGTTTATCCGATCTTATAAATATGTTTTAGGAGGAAAGCAAAAGGCTTTGAACTAGCCCCTAGTGGGTCTGCAGGGGTCCAGGCCTGCCCTGTCTCTGAAGCTCCCATTGCTTTGCACCCACTGAGACAGCCTCCCAAAGGTAGATGAAATCAGCTGTTCCCAACAAGGCTGAAGGCCTCAAGTGACTTCTTGCTAGACAGGTTTAAGTTTCCCACATCAAGACTGCAAGTTGGCCCCCCAGCCCTATGGATTTATGCCCTTGACCCAGCTGCTGTCCCAGCCCCTGCCAGCTGCTCTGCACGATGTCCTTGCCCCTTCCTGCCCTCGCTTCCTGGGCTTAGGCAGGCAGGGGCTGTAGAGCTGCATTGAAAAGAGTTCAACCAAATTTTAAGAGAACCATGACTCGCCTGGCCAAAGGCCTCATTGGTGCATGGATGCTGAAAAAGATGGGGTAGGTTGGGATTGGAGAAACTGTGCCTTGAGAGACCACTCAGAGTCTGAAGGTGACTGGAAAAGGGGCATGGCCCGCCGGGGAGCTCAGGAAGCAAGCCAAGCTCATGAGAGGGAGATGGGACATCTCGATGGGCCCCTAGTGTCCCACTGGGGTTGTGACCACACAAGGTGGTGGCCCTGCTTCCTTCTCACTCCAGCCTGCCTGATTTACTGGGGAGGCCACCCATTTACCCTTTCAAGAGCTCTGTCTGCTTCCAAGTTCACCTCAGAGTGGGTGGAGTCCATTGGTACCAACACTGGAACTCTCCATTTCACCAAAGCCTGAGCCCTCAGGCCCTTGGGGAGGACGAGTGGCCAGTCATTGACACCCCAGGGTCACCATGGGGCTGCAGCTGGCAGAGTGGTCCCAGGGAAGAGACACTGGGGGAGCAAAAGGAGACTGGAGACATCCCAAGGAAGTCCCAAGCAGAGCCAACTGCTTTATAGCCTGCAGCCTACTCAAACTGTGTGATGTGCAATAACTGAGCTTAGAGTTAAGAATTGTGTTCAAGTGCTTGGGTTTCTGTCTGTAGATTTAAGTGCTGAAATCGTATCTCTCAGTAATTTTAGATGTCTTTTTAAAAAATCGAGAAACAAAGTGTTAGACCTACGTGTGCGTTGATGGGCACTCAAGCGTCCCTGGATCACCCCACCCTCTCCTTCCCCTGCACCCCATTCCCTCACACCCCACCTCCCCTCCCCCCCTCCACTTGGGGACCCTGCCTTGTGTTATCTTTATCTGCCTATTAGCCTAAGGAAACAAGTACACTCCACACATGCATAAAGGAAATCAAATGTTATTTTTAAGAAAATGGAAAATAAAACTTTATAAACCACCCGCTGACAATTCTTCCTCTTGATGTTTTCACAAAAACAGCATCCACAAGTGACCACAAGGACACCCTGTGGTCCCATCTGGTTTCTCGTATCCGCTGTTACACAGGAGATTGCAGGGATGGCAGGGCTGGTGGGCGGGGGGAGCTGATTTATTCAGGGAGGATTTGGAATGACTTTAAAATATTTTTTTTTTTTGGTACTGGGGATCAAACTCGGGACCTTGTGCTTGCGAGACAGGTGGCGGAACCACTGAGCTAAATCCCCAGCCCCCTAAAATATTTTGATATTACTGTACATTTTATGCAAGCTATATTGCTACATATACCAATAAATACATCTCTAACAAAGCAGAGATGAAACTATGTCATTCTTCATTTAGCATGTTGTGGACCTTTCCTCCTTATTATTAAATTTGAGGACTTGACTTTATTAAGAACACAGTAGCCCGCAATATGGATACACTCTGATGTATTTAGCCAACTCCCTATTTTTGGACACTCATAATCTTTCCAGTTTCTTGATCTTAACAGTGCTCTGGTGGGCTTGGGGCCCATTTTGGATTATTTCCCAGTCCAGATTGCCAGAAGGAGAATGGTTGAAGGGAAGGGTATGGTTTTGCTTTCTTTTTTAATTGTGGTAGAATACACATAATAGAAAAGTTACCATTTAACATACAATTCAGTGGCATATAGTACATTTGCAATGTTCAACAACCATCACAACAGTATAGTTCCAGAACTTTCACCCATCTTTTCATATTTTAGAAGTGCTGGAGAGCAGACTCAGGGACTTGAGCATGGTAGGCAAAATGCTCTACCACTGTGCTACGCCCCTGGCCCAGGGTAGGAGATTTTTAGACTTTACATCTCACCAAATTGCTTTTCAGAAAGGTTAGACCATTAGAGGCAACCCTTTCCCAGTGTATGGGAGAACTGTATCAAGCTCCATTTATACTTCTCACCATTATGAATCCTGATATTTAAAAAGCTTGGCCAGTTTGGTAGGAGAATAACCATGTATTATTTTTGTATCTTTGATTAATAGAACCAAAGGACGGTTAGCATCCTCTGATTTCTGCTCACAGGGCTTCCTGTTATGGTTTGGATAACGGTCGCCCCCAAAGGCCTGTGAAGGCTTGGTCCCCACCTCGCCCTGCTATTGGGAGGTGGTCAAACCTTTAAGAGGCGGGTCCTAGGGGGAAGTTTGGGTCATTGGGGGCGTGGCCTCTGCCTCGCAGCTGTACACTGTTTGATCAACCATAAGCACCTTAGTGGATGAATTTACTGCTTTGCCACAGACCCCAAAGCAACAAATGCCCGTGGACTGAAAGCTCTGAAATTGTGAGTCAAACTCTTTCCTTTTTTATTTTCTTTCTTTATTTTTGTTTTGAGACAGGGTCTCACCATGTAGTCCAGGCTGGCCTTGAACTGGTTATGTAGCCCAAGCTGGCCTCGAACTCACAGTGATCCTGGCAAGTGCAGGGATTACAGGCATGTGCCGCCACACTTAACCCTTTCCTTCCTACCAGGTGTATCTCAGGTATTTGTTACATGACGGAAAGCTGACTGGCATAGTACTTCCCCTCGGTAGAGGCATCTTCCTTTTAGCCAATCCTTTTGCAATGAAGGGTTGGGGTATAGAAGTAGGACTCAGGACCTCCAGACTCTAACCCTAGGGCTTGCTAACTGTGACCTTGGACAAGTCATTGGATGGGTGGAGAGGGTAACCCAGCTCACAGGGGTCCCTGTAACCTGCGGGAGGGCTTTCAAAATAGAAAAGGAAGAGGGGCCAAGGATTTAGCTCAGTGGTTCTGCTGCCTGCCTTGCAAGCACAAGGACCCGAGTTTGATCCCCGGTACAAAAAAAAAAAAATAGAAAAGCAAGCTCCAGGGACAAGTCCCTTAATGCCCTGCACTGGCCACAGCTGGCGTGGGTGTTCTGAACTGATCAGGGCCGCCTTAGGAAGGGGTGTGCTCTCCCGTGGGTGGTTTTGTTCTTCACTGAGCTTATTACCCTCACAAGGTCAGCCTCAGAGCTTGTTGTCTTCCTGGAGGGAGGTGTGGGGAGGGAAGTGATATACCCAGGAGCTACTCCCAGCTGCAGGATGGAGGAGGAAGTGGGTGGGATGGGAATGGGGAAGTCCTTAGAAATGCTTTCACTTGCAGGGCTGCTGGGAATCTGTGGTTCTGGAAGTCGAGGAGCTGTGGAGTGTGCAGGCTTGAGGTTGAATCAGTGGCTCACTTTCCTCTTGTGTCATGAGCTCACTTGTACTAGCATGCAAAGCCCTACTGTTATTTTTTTTTTAAGCCCTACTGTTATTGGGAAATAATAATACCAACAATTGAACACTTACTATACTCAAGACCCTATGCCAAGGAATCACCTCATAGCAGCCCAGCAGGTAGCATTGTTAGTAAAGCCCATTTTGCAGATGAGGAAACTGAGTCTCAGAGGTTCAGGTTGGCCATGGATACACTGCTGGTGAGGGTTATTCTGCCACCATCACAAAGCAGGCTGCATCTGTGCCCAGTGACTGGACCCTTCCTGTGGGCCTTGGGCAATTGGAGGAGGAGGAAGGGAAGGGCCTCCTGCCCAGTTTAACACTGGTTTCCTGGGGAAAAGGACTTAAGCCAGGTCCTTGGATGGAAGGAGTGACGTAGTGGCTTAACCCTAGCTGAACGTTGAAAGCATTTGGGGGATTCTAGTCCCACGGTCAGAGGGTGTTCTGGGTTGAGACCAAGTGAAGCTGAAATGTTGCCAGGTGCCTTTGGCCCAGGCTGGGCAAATAAGCAGGGAAGGTCCCACCGGTGGGACAGGATGTGCAAGAGGCCAGGGCAGGACCGAGCCTGGGAGGAGGGAGGACGGCGTGAGGCCAGGAGGCCAGGCCAAGGGCAGCAAGGCTCCGGCAGTTCCCTGGTTGGAGGACTCTGCTTTAGTGCTTCTCCAACAGCTTGTCAATCACCAGCCCAGGCCTTGGAGCTGGGTTGTTGCATGGTGTTGTCTATATTTATTTTTTCTTTTAGTACTGCAGACTGAACCCAGGGCCTTCACATTGAGCTATATCCACAGCCCTTTTTTATTTTTTATTCTGAGTAGGATCTTCCTAAGTTTCCCAGGCTGGGCTTGAACTTTTGATTCTCCACCTCAGTCTCCTAGAGTGCACAGTGCTTTCTGAGCAGCTTGAGGGTGAAGCAGCCTGCCAAGGGAACCCCAGTCTACCCCCATGGAAACTCTCTGAATGAGTGTCCCCAAACTGCAGGGAAATGTTGGCTTTTGCACTTGGCAGATCAACATTTGCTCAGGCGATGGGGAGCTAGAGGCAAGGTGGGGCCCTGGCTTCTGGAACAATCCATCCATTGTCACCGTATCCCAGCCACCTGGATTCCCAGGGACCCTTGGGGGAAGCAGATGGTGAAGGGACAGACCCAAGTGCTGACTGCAGCAAAGGCGGGGCTGTAGCCATCCAGGAAGCCATCGCAGGAACTCAGCTGCATAGTGTCCACACCCACCCCTGCTCCTCAGTGTCCTCCCCTCCCTCCCTTCCCTCAGGCCCGCCTCATCCTAGCACCTCCTGGGGACAGGGACTCTATATGAACTTCCTTCAGTGAATAACTGGGGCCTGGAACGAATGGCACACACTCCAGACAGGTAGCCTTCCCCTCCCCTGCCAGCAGAGTTCTGCCCATACCTGATTGCTGCACAACTTTCACTGCTTGGAGAGGGGTATGGGTGACCTAAAACAAGAACCCTTACTTTATATATTTTTAATTGACACATAAACATTATACATACTTACGGGGTTCAGTGTGACATTTCAACAGATGTATACAATGAGTAATGATTGTCTCAGGGTAATCGGTGTATCTGTCACCTCACCTCAGATATTTATCATCTCTTTCTGTTGGGAATAGTAAAAATCCTCTGCATTAGCTATTTTGAAATATGTAACTAATTGCTGCCTGTCATGGTGACCCTGCTGGGTTATAGAACATTAGGAGTTATTCCTTCTAGCTGGGCATGGTGGCCCATACCTGTAATCCCAGCACTCTGGGAGGGGGAAGCAAGAGGATTGCAAGTTCCAGCCCAGCCTGGACAACTTAGTAACTTAATGAGACCCCATCTCAAAATAAAAAATAAAAACAAGGCTAAGATATAGCTCTGTGCATAAGCCCTGGGTTCAATCCCCAGTACTGTTTCTACGTCCCTATCAGCAACCTATGTCTTTTCAGGTTGCCTGTTCTTCCTAACAGCTCTACGAGGCAGCCATTATTAGCTACCCAGCACCCACTTCATGTATAAGATAACTTTTTTATTTTGCGGTGCTATGTATTGAACCCAAGGCCTTTGCACATGTTAGGCACATGCCCTGCAGCTGAGCTACATCCCCAGTCCAGTAATCTATACTTTTTTTTGGTACTGGGGATCGAACTTAGGTCCTTGCACTTTCGGGACCACTGAGCTAAATCCCTGGCCCAGTAATCTACACTTATAAAGGGTGATCTTGGTTATTGTAGCTGTACACAGTGGAGCTTCGATGTCCTCCAGACCTGGCTGGCTCCAAAGTCCGCTGCCTCTGTCCTGCACCCACTGCCACTGTGAGTCCCACAGCGAGGTAACACACTGCGGAGCATCCTCTGATTTCATAAATAAGACCTGGGTGAGTTTTGATGGACTGTGGATGCTGAGGAAGTATAGAAGTGGTTCTGCCTCAAAAAGTGGGTCAGCACCTCACCACGGACCTCAATTTCCTCACCAGGAAGATGATGGGATTGGTCTAGATGGCTGGTGTCGAAGAGTACAAAGGTATGAATCCAAAGATGACTCTCTTTCTCTTTTCCTCTCATTTTCTCTCTCCCTCTTCTCTCTATACTGTTGCTTTAACTGGCCCTGAGGACTCACACATTTGCAAAGCAAAATTAAATTATACTTTAAAAGGAATGATGAGGATCGTGACCAACTGCAGCAGTCATCTTCCATGAAGGCTCCAAGGACTAAGGGCTCC